GAGCATGAGCGGGGGAGGGGCAGAGAGAGAGGGAGACACAGAATCCGAAGCAGGCTCCAGGCTCCGAGCCCTCAGTACAGAGCCTGACGTGGGGCTTGAACTCACGGACTGTGAGATCATGACCTGAGCTGAAGTCGAATGCTCAACCGACTGAGCCCAGGTGCCCTGAGAATGAGAATCTCAGGCTCCATGCTCAGCAGGAAGTCCAACACTAGACTCTGTCTCACGGCCGTGAGATCATGACCTGAGCCAAAATCAAGAGTTGGACACTTAGCTGACTGAGCCACCCAGGTGCCCCCAAGGGGCAGCTTTTAACTCAACATGATTTTTTTTTTAAGTTTATTTATTTATTTTGAGAGAGAGCGAGCGAGCAAGCACAAGTGGGAGAGGAACAGAGAGCATGGGAGGGAGAGAGAGGGAGAGAATCCCAAGCAGGCACTGTCGGTGCAGAGCCCGACATGGGGCTCGAACCCAGGAACTGTGAGATCATGACGTGAGCCAAAATCGAGTTAGACACATAACCAACTGAGCCACCCAGACACCCCTCAGCGTTTTTTTTTTTTTTAAGTTTATTTATTTTGAGAGAGCTCTCACAAGCTGAGTAGGGGTGGGGCAGAGAGAGAATCCCAAGCAGGCTAAGCTGTCAACGATGAGCCCTACACGCAGAGCCCCACTGGGGGCTCTAACGTACCAACTGAAAGATTGTGACCTGAGCCGAAATCAGAGTTGGTCACCTAACCGACTGAGTCACCCAAGAACCCCAACTCAACCTGATTTTGAAAGCTATCGTGTATCTTTTTATACATACCCCACAAAAAAATTTTGTATCAGTTGTCTATAGATTTACCAGAATGGATCTGGCTGCTGCTTTTGGCGTGTGTGTGCAAGTGGTGTGTGTGTTTATAAATCTGGCCACCATGCCAGAAATAAAATAAATTGTAGGTAAAGGAGATAATGCTCATCGTGAAAATAAACTATTCTATTCTTACTTTCACTTATTCCTTCAACGCCTATTGAAGGAAGAGACCCACATGAAGAATAATCTGTGTCCTGTGTGTTTTGTTTTTAACAGAGGCTAGCATTACTAGCTTGAAGCAAGCTGCTCTGGTCAAAGCTCCTCTCATCCCGACTTTGAACACAATTGTGCAGTATCTAGACCTTACACCCAATCAGGAATACTTGTTCGAAAGGATTAAAGGTAACTAGTAATTTGAGGAGGAAAAAAATTTCACTACTTTGAGATTTTATAAATAAAAGTAACAAGGGGAAAAAAATTTTTAAGTATCACTTTTTTTTGTTTTATGAACATATATTAGGGCTTAGTTAAGGCTTATACTTGAATAACGTTTGGGTTTTATATTTCATATTGCCTAAGACTTGTCAAAATGATGTAGTTAGCCTTAAATGTGCTCATTAATTGCATTCTGTAGAGGGAAACTTAAATGTGAGCTCCATGAGCTGCAGTAAATATTTCACCTATTTTCTACCCTTAAACCACTAAGAACGGGCGCCACTGTGACATTCCTTATCATTTTAGCATGTTGGTCCTTCTTTCTTTCAATTCTTGTAATGTATATTTAATGTGTTGCTACTTTGAATTTCTGTTATATTCGGATTATTTGGAGGGAAATGTGATCTTCTGAGGAGACGGACGTGAGAATCAGGAAAGTTAGCCTCCCTGATACTCCCAAACTCTCTTTATGCTTCCCTGCTTTTATTTGGATAAACTGTAAAATGTTCTCATCAGTAAAAAAAGCTTTAGAAATAGTATTTCACTCTTCACATTTATCATAAATCTTAACTTGAAAACATTATGGTACCCTCTCTCCCCCAGGTTTGGACTGGGGTTCAGAAATGCGCATTTTTCATGACTTAAAAAAACTTTTTATTATCAGGAGAATTCAGATATTCCTAATACTAAACACAACAGTGTGCTCAAGCCTCCTGTACACAGCCCCTGGGCCTGGCAGCCTTTAGCCTCTCGGCACCCCTGGCCCTATCTATATCCCCATCTACCTGCTCCCCTCCTGTGTTATATATGGTTCTATGTGCTGTTGTCACTTCATCTGTAAACAGCTCTCTATGTGTCTCAAAGATAAGGCCTTTTAAAAACATAACCTCAGTACAATTATCACACCTATTATTTAAAAAAAAATTTTTTTTTTAACGTTTATTTATTTTTGAGACAGAGAGAGACACAGCATGAATGGGGGAGGGGCAGAGAGAGAGGGAGACACAGAATCAGAAGCAGGCTCCAGGCTCTGAGCCATCAGCCCAGAGCCTGACGCAGGGCACGAACCCACGGACCGCGAGATCGTGACCTGAGTTGAAGTCAGACGCTTAACCGACTGAGCCACCCAGGCGCCCCCACACCTATTATTTTTAAAACAATTTCTTTATATCATGAAATATATAGCCTATGTATGTACGGATGTCCATCCATCCATCTATCTCATAAAATGTGTAATTACTTTGTTTGGTATTGCTTGAATTGGGATTCAGATATTATCATATATTGTGACTAGTTGATACAGCATTTTAGTTCCTTTAGGTTTCCTGTCCATCCTTTTTTTCATTTGCAACTTATTTGTTGAAAAAACTGGATTGTTTGTCCTGTAGAGTTGTCCACGTTGTGGATTTTACTGAATGCATGCCCACGGGTATGGTTTTACATGATCCTCTGTCCTCTGTATTTCATGTAAATTCAGGTTGCAATATTTTGGCAAGATTGCCTGATAGATAGCAAGGTGTTTGTATATCCAGAAAGAAATGTGTGTGCACACATATATACAAAGTACATATAAAGTATTGTTATATTCTAGATAAAATATACAAAAAAGCTTAAAAAAATTGTACTTAAAAAAGTACAATGAACAGATAGAGGCCTTCTAGATTGAACAGTTAGCAACATTTTGCTACAGTTGATTCTCTTTGTCTACATATATACACACACACTTTTTTTTTACTCTACCATTTGAAATTCATTACAGACACCATTACTTGTTAGTATGATAATTCCTAAACATGAGAACATTCTCCTACATAAACCCAGTACATTTAACAGACCTTTAAAATTAGCAATATTTCTAAAATCATCTAATATATAATTCATATTCAAGTTTCCCAATTGTCCAAAGAATGTTACTCTTTTTTTTTCCTGACCAGAATAGAGTCTAGTTTCACACATTACCTTACGGTGTTTTATCTTTCTTTGGTCTCTTTCTCTAGAACAGTTCTGTCCCCCTTTTCTCCCCACATGACATGGACTTTTTTAAGAACCCCGAATGGTAGTTTTATTCTGTGTTTTGGAATTGTCTGGTTTTTTTTTTTTTCATGGTGATGTGTGAGTTACTATTTTATATCTTGTGTTTATGTTAGGGTGTTTTCATCAGGTTTTGAAGGTGTTATGCTTCCCCTATTGTAACCCCTTAGCCTTTTCTTGTTCTTCTTTTTTTTTTTTTTTCTTCATTTTTGGCTTCTTAAATTTCATCTTTGTTGCTTCAGAACTTTCTCAGGGAGGCTGTATGAGTTCATTTAGATGGAATAGAGGTGGAGACTTCAAAGGACGGAAGTGGGATACAGACCTGCCCACTGACTCAGCTGTAAGTCACTACTTCTGTTTTCTCAGTTTAACATTTTCCCATGTTAATTGGATTTATGTGCTTTTATTTTTCCATTATAAAAATAAATATTAAAAAGAACTTAGAAACTAAGAAGTAAAAGTTTAAAATTGTACCAGCATCTATCTTAACCACTGCTAATAGTTTGGTGGGGTTTTTTGGTTGTTGTTGTTGTTGTTTTAATTTTTTTTAACGTTTATTTGTGAGAGAAAGAGACACAGAGTGTAAGTGGGGGCGGGACAGAAAGAGGGAGACACAGAATCTGAAACAGGCTCCAGGCTGTGAGCTGTCAGCACAGAGCCCGACGCAGGGTTCAAACCCACAAGCAGTGAGATCGTGACCTGAGCCAAAGTTGGAGGCTTAACCGATGAGCCACCCAGGCACCCCCTGGAGAGAGAAAATCTTTTAAGCAGGCTCCACACTCAGTACGGAGCCTAACGCAGGGCTTGATCTCACAACCCTAAGATCATGATCTGAGCCAAAATCAAGAGTCATATGCTTAACTGACTGAGTCACCCAGGTGCCCCAAGATTGTGCTATTTTTTGTTTTTATCATAGTTGTTACTATCCCATACATAAAATTTTGTATCCTTTTTTTTTTTTTCCACTTTTGTTGTGTAAGTATTTTTTCATTATTACCCAGTGTCCATTAACTTTTCCTATGTTGGACCTAAAAGTTTGAGAAATGTGGTAGGGGAGGAACCTTTGTTTTTCTGTTTTAAATTTTTTTTTTTTTTCAACGTTTATTTATTTTTGGGACAGGGAGAGACAGAACATGAACGGGGGAGGGTCAGAGAGAGAGGGAGACAGAGAATCGGAAACAGGCTCCAGGCTCTGAGCCATCAGCCCAGAGCCTGACGCGGGGCTCGAACTCACGGACCGCGAGATCGTGACCTGGCTGAAGTCGGACGCTTAACCGACTGCGCCACCCAGGCGCCCCTGTTTTTCTGTTTTAAATAATATTGTAACTGGGGCATCATGGTGGCTCAGTCGGTTAAGCATCCGTCTTCAGTTCAGGTCATGATTTCGTGGTTTGTGAGTTCGAGCCTCACATCGGGCTCTGTGCTGACAGCTCAGAGGCTGGAGCCTGCTTCGAATTCTGTGTCTCCCTCTCTCGCTGACCCTCCCTCATTCACGCTCTGTCTCTCTCTCTCTTTCTCAAAAATAAGTAAACATTAAAAAAAAATTTAAATAATATTGTAAGGAATATCATGGTGCATGTTTATTCTTGGGGATTGTGGCTTTAAGAAAGATTCCTGGAATTAAGATTTATGAGGTCAAAGAGTGTAAAGTTTTTGAACATTTAAGAGTTTCAAGATCATGTTTTTTATTTTTTAGTAGTGACCGTCAGTGTGGAAAACATAAAGCTTCAAATGATGATATTCAAATTGAGAATGTATGTCTGTTTTTATCTTGTTTTTTTGTTATTAACTATATGAGTATGAATGATCCACTTAACAGAAGACTTGGAATGTCTTGCTTTGTCTTTTCATTTTATAGATTTCATCTTATAAATATAACTACTTGAAAGCATTTTGCTAGTTCTCTCTTTAGGGAAACATTTAAAGATTGGAGTCATCATAAACAGCACTGTTTTTAAAGGGCTTATATCTATGATAGATTTTCATGCTGATTTAAAAAAATTGTTTCCTCATCTTCAGATCATCATGCATGTATTTTGCACCTACCTTGATTCCAGATTACCTCCACATCCTAAGTACCCTGACGGGAAGACATTTACTTCTCAGCACTTTGTTCAGACCCCAAATAAACCAGGTATAAACCTCCTAACAGAATGAGTTGAGATTTTCACATGAGATATATCTAGAGGTTTAGCTTGTTTTTTAATGTAGCGTATTTCCTTTACAGATGTGACAAATGAGAATGTTTTTTGCATCTATCAGAGTGCTATCAACCCTCCTCATTATGAGCTAATCTACCAGCGTCATGTGTACAATCTTCCAAAGGTACTTCTTTTTAAAAAAAATTTTAGTGTTTATTTATTTTTGAGAAAGAGAGACAGAGTACGAGCTGGAGGGGGCAGAGAGAGAGGGAGACACAGAATCTGAAGCAGGCTCCAGGCTCTGACCTGTCAGGACAGAGCCGGACGCAGGGCTTGAACTCATGAACCGTGAGATCATGGCAGAGCCAAGGTCGGACACTTAACCGACGGAGCCCCCCAGGCGCCCCCAAAGTTACTTCTAAATGTAGAAATGGCTATTGAGGAAGGTCATGGTGACTTGCTTTGATAATATTTTTTAAATTAAAGTCTCTTGTCTAAGGAACAGGTAAACTGTTTAAATTAGGGAAAATGAGTTTCTTAAATGTCCCTTTTTTAAACTATAAAAGTAATATATGCTTAATTTGGGAAAGTATAAAGAAGAAAGAGCAGGGGCACCTGGGTGCCTCAGTCGGTTAAGGATGCGACTTCGGCTCAGTTCATGATCTCATAGCTCACGGGTTTGAGCCCCACATCGGGCTCGGCATTGGCAGTGCGGAGCCTGCTTGGGATCTGTGCTCTCTCCTCACTCTCTGTCCCTCCCCCACTCACACTTTGTCTCATGATAAATAAATTCTGAAAAGAAAGATCACTCATTCCATTACTTAAAGGCAGCTATTGTTAACATTTTTGTTGTATTGCCTTTGGTAAATTTCATTTTGGCCTTTTCTCTGTGCTATTTTATGGGTTGAAATCGTATTATTTATGTAGTTTTATTTCCTTTTAAAAATTAACTTCCTTGGGGCGCCTGGGTGGCGCAGTCGGTTAAGCGTCCGACTTCAGCCAGGTCACGATCTCGCGGTCCGTGAGTTCGAGCCCCGCGTCGGGCTCTGGGCTGATGGCTCAGAGCCTGGAGCCTGTTTCAGATTCTGTGTCTCCCTCTCACTCTGCCCCTCCCCCGTTCATGCTCTGTCTCTCTCTGTCCCAAAAATAAATAAACGTTGAAAAAAAAAAAAAATTAACTTCCTTAAAGAACTCTTTTGCACTGCTGGTGGGAATGCAAACTGGTGCAGCCACTCTGGAAGACAGTATGGAGGTTCCTCAAAAAATCAAAAATAGAACTATCCTGTGACCCAGTAATTGCACTACTAGGTATTTATCCAGAGGATACAGAAATGCTGTTTTGGCGGGGCACATGCACCCCAATATTTATAGTAGGGCAATCAACAATAGCCAAAGTATGGAAAGAGCCCAAATGTCCATCGACAGATGAACGTATAAAGAAGATGTGGTATATGAATACAATGGAATATTACCTAGCAATCAAAAAGAGTGAAATCTTGCCATTTGCAACAACATGGATGGAACTAGAGTGTATTATGCTAAGCGAAATAAGTCAGAGAAAGACAGATATCACATGATTTCACTCATATGTGGAATTTAAGAAACACAACAGATGAACATAGGGGAAGGGAAACAAAAATAAGATAAAAACAGAGAGGGAGACACATCGTAAGAGACTCTTACAGAGAACAAACTGAGGGTTGCTGGCTGGGCGTTGGGTAGGGGGATGGGCTAAATGGGCGATGGGCCCTAAGGAGGACACTGGTTGGGATGAACACTGGGTGTTATATGTAAGTGATGAATCACTAAATTCTATTCCTGAAATCATTATTACACTCTATGTAACTAACTTGGATTTAAATTTTTTTTTTAAAGTGAATGGTAGAAAAAAAAATCTTTCTTAATTTAATTAACTTAAATATAATTTTCCATCCTATAAAAATATTTCATAGAAATACTTTTTAATGGCTATAAAAAAGTTATCATTATATGGGGTGCCTGGGTTGCTCAGTCGGTTAAGCATCCGACTCCGGCTCAGGTCATGATCTTGCAGTTTGTGAGTTCAAGCCCTGCATCAGGCTCTGTGCACACAGCTTGGAGCCTGGAGCCTGCTTCAGAATCTGTGTCTCCCTCTCTCTCTGCCCCTCCCCTGCTCACACTCTGTCTCTCAAAAAATAAGTGTTAAAAAAATTTGGGGGGGGGGAGGGCGGCACCTGGGTGGCTCAGTCCGTTGAACGTTCAACTTTGGCTCAGGTCACGATCTCATAGTCTGTGAGTTTAAGCCCCGCATCAGGCTTAATATTCCAGCTTTATAAGTGTTAATATTTTGGGCCATTGAAGTTTCTGTACAAATCCATGCAAATGAAAGTCTGAATTACACGGAATTCTGAGTTAGTAGAATGTGAATTGATAGGATCTGCATTTATCTTTTTGTTTGGTTTGTATAATCTTTGGCTTGGCTTGGTTTAAATCTTGCTGTCTTTTTTTGTCTTTGTTCCAGGGCCGAAATAATATGTTTCATACATTGTTAATGTTTCTCTACATCATAAAAACCAAAGAGTCAGGAATGCTTGGGTAGGTATTGATGCTTTAAAAATGCAAGTACTTAACTTATTTACTGTTTTTCTTCCCATGTTAAGATTCTGCAGAAGCAGCATCATATATTGAAAAGATTGTGGACCGAACAAGAGATATGGCTTTTGGCACTAGCTCAGCCCTGTCACTAACCAGTTCTATTCTCTTGGGCAAATCCATTGATTCCTCACCAACCTCCATTTCCCTACTGGTTTCCCTCATTGGCTTTACGGTTGTGTCCCTCAAGAAGCAACTCTGAGGATGTATATCAAGCTCTTGCCAATTTAAAATTTATCAACAGAACAAAACAAAAGCCATCCCATTTCAGACACAGCCTTCTGCAAAATGTTTATACTTCTAGAGACTGAGTCAGCACCCATTCCATAATATTATTAACTGGGACGGAAAAATGGTCAGTTGAAATTGTTTACTTTGTTCTAAATATTTAGAATGAAGCTCACGTCCTGTTTAAATAAATTCAGAATTGTCATATGGTCATTTTGGTGATCCAAAATATTAGCATATCAAATAATATTTTGAAGCAGGAGGACTGGTTAAGGCTGGAGAAATCTCGTAATGCAAGGTCTAGAACTCTCAAAACCTGAGGTTAAGAAAATGTGAAGGGAAAGGCTTGGAGTGGAGAATGTCTGGGGTCCATTCCAGTTCCAATATGCATGCCTCTTTTCAGTTTAGCTTAGGCGTCCTGTTTTATATGTGTTTTAGAACTACATTGTCTGATAGAGCAGCCATCTATCACATGTGACAATGAGCATTTGAAACAGGACTAATCTGAATTGAGATATTCTGTAAGTGTAATGTTATATAGACCAGAATTTGAAGACCCAAGAAAAAGGGGGGTACAAAAGATCTCATTAATACTCTTGTGCATTGATTACCTGTTGAATTAATACATTGGATATATTGGATTAAATGAAATATATTACTGAAATTCATTAAACCTGTTTCTTTTTACTTTTTATAAAAATTTTAAGATGTCTATTAGAAAATTTAAAATTATGGGGGCATCTGGCTAGCTCAGTCAGTAGAGCTCACGACTCAATCTCTCAGGGTCGTGAGTTCAAGTCCCAGGTTGGGCATAGAACCCACTTAAAATAAAAAATTTTTTAATATAAATAAGATTAAATGTAAACAAATAAATTTAATAAATTAAATATAAATAAAATTAAATATAAATAAAATTTAATAAGTAACAAAAATAAATTAAAAATGTAATTAGAAAAAAATTTTAAATGATGTATGTGGTTTGCATTTCACTGACATCACATTATATTTCTACTGGACAATACTGCTCTAGAGAAAGCCAAGTTCCTGTCCTTAAACATATTAGATTCAAAGATTTTTAAAAGACATAAACAGTCCAAAAAAATTTTTTTTTCACCAAATCAGTCTATGGTTTTAATGTGATTCCTATCAAAATCCTAGCAAGTTTTTTTTAGTTCTCTTCTTAATTTTATTTTTTTTAATTTACATCCAAATTAGTTAGCATATGTAAAAAATTTTTTTTAATATTTATTTATTTTGGGGGTGGTGGGCAGAGAGAGAAGGAGACACAGAATCTGAAGCAGGCTCCAGCCTCTGAGCTGTCAGCACAGAGCCCATTGCAGGGCTCGAACTCCTGAGCCATGAGATCATGACCTGAGCTGAAGTCAGACGCTTAACCGACCCAGCTACGCAGGATCCCCTTTTATCATATATATATATATATATATATATATATATATATATACACACACACACACACATATATATGTATGTATATACATACATATATATATGTATGTGTATGTATATTTTTTTTTCTTTAATGTTTATTTTTGAGAGAGAGAGAGAAAGAGAGAGAACGAGCAGGGGAGGGGCAGAGAGAGGAAGACAATCTGAAACAGGGTCCAGGCTCCAAGCTGTTACAACAGCACAAAGCCCGACAGCGGGGCTCGAACCCACGGACTGTGAGATCATGACCCAAGCCGAAGTCTGACGCTTAACTGACTGAGCCATCCATGTGTCCCATTGTCATATATGTTTTAACGTAAGAAAGATTAAATAGGAAACTCACTTTTGTGAAGCATCTAAACTAAATATTTTTTTTCCTTATTTTTTAATTACAAAAGTAATACATGCCCAATATGCAAATACTTAAATGCTACAGCAGTGTATAGACTAGAAATTGAAAATTCCCGTCTGGTCAGCCTCTCAATCCCACTGCCTCTGAGTACCCAATGTTAGCAGTTAAAAGTGTATGTTTATAGACTACTTTCTGGGAATGAGTTGATCTGGGTTTTAGTTTTCATTTTGTTTAAACATGTATTGTGCCTAAACATATTATCCTATGCTTTTTTTTAATCTTTTTTTTTTTTGACATTTATTCATTTTTGAGAGACAGAGCATGAGCAGGGGAGGGGCAGAGAGAGAGAGGGAGACACAGAATCTAAAGCAGGCTCCAGGCTCTGAGCTGTCAGCACAGAGCCCGATGTGGGACTCAAACCCAGGAACCGTGATAGATCATGACCTGAGCCGAAGTCAGACGCTTAACCGACTAAGCCACCCAGGCGCCCCTGTGCTCTGCTTTTTAATCTCACAGTTTGTCTTAGACATTCTTCCATGTCAGTAAATACAGACCTTTTTCCTAAAATTTCTAGCAGTATTTAATTATAAATATGTGCATGCATATGTATTAGAAATATGGAATATGTTATAAATATAATGTTTTATAATTATTCCTCACTTAATGCTTTAGAAGGGCTATTTTGAAGCCAAGAATTAATTGAAAAATACTTTAGGGGTGCCCGGATGGCTCAGTCAATTAAGCATCTGACTTCGGCCCAGGTCATGATCTCAAAGCTTGAGGGTTCGAGCCCCAGGGCTGACAGCTCGGAGCCTGGAGCCTGCTTTGGATTCTGTGTCTCCCTCTCTCTCTCTGCCCCTCCCCTGCTCATGCTCTGTCTCTGTCTCTCAAAAATGAATAAATGTTAAAAAAAATTTTTTTTTTATAAAAAGATATTTTAAATCAACAGCGAGTATTTGTTTAATGTTTATTTATTTTTGAGAGAGAGAGAGAGAGTGTGAGCTGGGGAGGAACAGAGAGAGAGGGAGACACAGAATCCAAAGCAGGCTCCAGGCTCTGAACTGTCAGCATAGAGCCGGACACAGGGCTAGAACCCATGAACTGCAAGACCATGAGCCCAAGTCAGACGCTTAACTGACTGAGCCACCCAGGCATCCCTCGAATGTTTGGTTTTAATTGAAAGTTTATCTTTTCCTCTCTAGATCCAAATTGACATTTTGATGCATTAATGATTTGTCATGATAGCTTGAAGTTTGTGTTGAGTGCTAGGTACGCTTTGTCCACATAAAAATGGAAAATTTTCAGAAGTATTTAGGAGGCTGGCTCAATCTGTAGAGCATGCAACTCTTGATCTGGGGGTTATTAGTTCAAGCCACGTGTTAGGTATAGAGCTTACTTAAAAAATAAATAAAGTAAAATAAGATAGAAATATTTAGTGGGGTAATGACTTACTTAGAGGCCAGGAAGAATTCATACAATTTTTAAAGTGCGTATCTTATTGAGCAACTTAAATGTGGAAAAGAAACATTTCAAACTAAAACTAATACATCTTTTATTTATTTGAGATTTTTTTTCCTTAACCAAGGGAAAAACTTTGAAATTATTAACTTTTTAAATGATTGATTAATCTACTTGATACATTCTAAAACAATCAAATGCTTAAAAACTATCCTATAACTTAAAGGAAATAAGCAAGTGGCTCAAATAGAGTCCATTTGGAATCATTCCCATAAAGCAGCAGCAGATTGATCCAAATACATTATCCAGTCAATGCCAGATATTTGTGCAGTTACTGGAATGAGATGACTGGTTTACTTACAAAAGGGGGAAAAAATCTAGACAGAATTAACTGCACAACAATTTAAGTGTTCTGTTCAGCAAATAAACTGTAAATAAAGTTTAAAGCTAAAACTAAATGACAAACTGAGACAAAATTTTATAGTTGCAACAGATATAGCAAGTCCAAGCTAATATCCATCATATGTAAAGAGCATATATAAATTCATTGGAAAGAAAATATATAGAAAATGGTCATAGACATGAAAAACCTGCACAAAAAAAGCTTTGTGCATATGGCTAATAATCACAAAAAGATGCTGGTTAGCCTCATATAAAACAAGCCAAAATTAAAACTTTTTTTCTATCAGATTGAGATTTAGCATTTGCAGGGTTTTTTTGTGTTTTTTTTTTTTTAAGATTCTTTTTTTTTTTTAAATATACCCAACATGGGACTCTACACCCAACATCACAACCCTGATACCAAGATTTGCATGCACTACTGATTGAGCCAGCCAGGTGCCCCTCTCATTGGCAGTTTTGGTGAAGAGTTCCTTGAAGAAATGGGAAAAGCCAATTAATATATAAATGACCTTTTTTGAAGGGCATTTTTGTAATACGTGTATATATATTTTAAAATTTTTGTCGAAAGCAATAACTATTCATAATTTTACAAGTCCTGTGGTGCTATAAGTTCATGACAGAAATAACCAGTTCCCTGTTCCCCAAGCCCACTAAAGACAGCCACCTGAAACTCTCTTAGCCTTTTTCTTCTGATATTATTATAGTTCCAAATAATAGAGGCATGCGGCTGTCTCTTGATTCTTCAGTTTGGGACATCGGAGGTTGATTTCTTACTTTGTCAGATGAGTAATCTCTTTCTCTTATAGCCCTCTCCTTTGTACTTTGAATACTGTATAGTACTCTCTAGAGTAGAAGTAGGTTTTTCTTTTTGTTTATATATAAGTAGGGTTTAGTTTAAGCTATATTAAGAATTCCCATGTACAAATTCACTAAAGCATCCATAATAATTAGTAAATTCTTAATTCGGATTTAATAGGTAAAATTCTCTAAGAAACCTAGCAGCTCTATATCATATCCTCCATGTAAACATTTTAATTGCTACCTCTGCTTTAATCTTGCTAAAATTATTCTGTAATATTCCTTGAATTTTCCACACCCTGTAAACGCATTTGTCCTAAATTGGGGTTTTAAGCCCAGTGAAGAAAGCAATTACTATTACTAGGGTCCACCTGATAAGCCATATGTAACATAACTCATTACAGAATGGCATTAAATGTTATCAGTTAAATATGTATTCCTTGTAAAGACTAGTTTTTGTTATTTGAAGAGACCTTAAATGTTTGGAAATCGATTCAACTAAAAAGGTTTGTTTTTTTTTTTTTCTTTTTATAGGAGAGTTAATCTTGGTCTATCCGGTGTGAATATTTTGTGGATTTTTGGCGAGTAATGTGTGTCGTTTAATTCCAAACATTAGGACTTTTATTTGATTGAACCAGGAGTTGAATCTAAGCATCTCTGAGTCACTGTGTCTTTTGAAGTAAGATACATGTATGTGTTAACAGACTCTTTTAGATTTAACGAAAAATTAGCTATTATGAAACTTCTTGTTAAAGTATTTCCTGTGTTCTCTACACTGAGAGACATTACCTTCACTTTTTTTATTACCTTTCAGATTTTTCAGTTGTCTGTGAAACTGCAAACCTTCAGATATTTGTTGACCCAAAACAGTGCAGTTTCCCCTTAATTAAGAAATTTGAGTCCTTTTTCATGGTAACCTACAAATGAGAATCATCCACCTGATTTTTCCCCACAAAAAATTTATTTTTTCAATTGCATTATTTGGTGTAAATACTTAAAAAGAAACAAGGAAATTGCTAATTCACCTTTTTTATCTCTTTACTTCCCTGTTGTTCTATAGATCAGCCCAAGGCCCACATGTAAAGAGATGAGATCAACTTGTAGGCAATGTATTATTAGTCCATGTGCATTTTTAAATAATATTGAAAGAGGTTTGACAGTGTTGGCATGTTTAGAAGTCAGCTCTCAGATTAACTCACAGAGTTAAACTATCTGGGTCTTAGGTTAAAAGGATGAAGACATTAAGAAACTCTTGCTTTCTTTTTAATAATTCAATCTGACTGTGTTATTTTAAGAGTTCTCTTTTAAGATCATACAATATCTGTTTAAATTTTTTTAGATATGTTCAGAATATCTGCAGAGTAAGAAGTGACTGAGTTTTGCTTGACTCTATTTTCTTACGTATCTATGAATAGGACCTTGAAGGCTAGCTAGCAAGTGTGTTTGTTTTCCAGATTGACGTCCTATTAGAGACCACTTCTGTCACCTTACGTAAACCTGGAAACAAAACTAGAATCTTCTGAGTAACTGCATTTTGGTCCTGTATGTGCATCCCATTTTTAATAATTTGTAAATTCTGTTTTTCAACAAGTCATTCCTGTGTTTTGAAAGTCCTGTGTCCAGAGGAAAGGAGGTTTCTTTTCACTGCTTTTGATGTATGTTGAACATGTTTGCTGTGGTATTTTAGAAGAAAATGTCAATTAAACATGTTAAATACGAGAACATGTGAAAATCTAAGTACTGTTTCAAAACTTATTGAAGGTGTCACAGAATAACAATTGTTACATGGTTAACATTCTTTATTAAAGGGAATAAGGGAAAAATTTTAACACATTAAGACAAAGGTTTTTTTTCTTTATAGGACTTATGGCAGCTTTTAGTCCAAAAATTCAAAGCTATAATATTTTTATTTTGTGACTATCAAGAAAATATAATATGTGGGAAATATACATGTAAAAAGACTAGAGATACATGCTAAAAAAGAAAAGCTCTTTTGATTGCATACTGTGAGTCTAGCGTGGGTTACTATATTCTAGGTAGTTTTCCTATACTGACTAGTCTCCACAAGTGTTTGAGCCAACTTATACTTTAATGTAGCCTTTATTAAAAATACTTTGATAAATTAGTTGGCATTCACACGTCAGGAAGACAGTGCACTGCAAATACGGTAAAATTTTTTGGGTCTTTGTGTTAAAATGAGTACCTACTTTAATTAAATGTTATTTATAGGGTATTTTTCACGAGTTTTTCTTTTCATTGCTTGACTCATCCTTGTGGGATCAGATCCACCAATTATGTTGATTTTAGATTATGTTCTCTGTATCATTTATTCTCCCCCCCCCCCCCCCCGCTATGAATATCAGCCTTTACTTCAGCCAAATTTGTTTTAGGAGTGTATCTAGGTGTTCATAATTTAGTTCCCACGAAGACATAAAAATGCTGTGTTGCTTGGCTTTCTCAAACTGATATATGGTACACTTTAAACGGATATTTCCGTGGTGAAGACATGTAGCATACGGCTGGCACTTCTAAACCCGGCTTTGGAACAGAAGTCCTTTATTTTTTTTAGAATATCAATCTTTTAAATGTGGACTTTTCCTCAAAGGTCAGTCTTGGTCCTGTGTTTCCCTGTCTCTGCTTTTCCTTAGAGATCTCATTCACTCCACAACTTCGTTTATCACCTCTCTGCATCTGATTCCCAAATTTACCACCAACCATAACGTCTCTCCCGCCTGAGCTCTGGCGTCCGACATTTCCATTCGCGTGTCCTGTGGACTGTGCGACCGGAACTGAATTCACATCTGCCAAAACCCGCTCGCTCTTCTAACCTCCCTTTTTCTGTTCATTGTACTACCAGTTGCCCACGCTCAAAACTCCGGTGTCATCTTTGATTCCTTCGCTCCCTGGGTCCCCAATCCAATTAGGCAGCAAACCTCATCCATTCTTTCTTAACAGTGTCTCTTGCAGCTGTCCCTTTCCGTTTCTGCTGCCCCTGTGCTCATTTGCACCCTTATCAATTCACATAGGACCACTACGACAGCCTAATTCATCTCGCAGCTTACTAATTTTTGCCGAGCTTCCAGACTTTCCAATTCATCCCACACATTCTCTTCAAATTCATCTTCCTGAAACACCTGTTTGATCATTTCATTCCCCTGATCAGTTCCTTAGCCTGACATTTAAAGCCCTCCACAATCTGGCCCCAAGCTAGCCTTCTCCTCCCAGATCCTCGGCCCCAGCCAGGGCGGGCTGCCGCTCGCTGGGCTCTCTGTGTGCTTCCTCCCGCTTGTCCCCCTCACTCTCTGGGGAACCCCCAGAGCAGCCTGCCCCTGCCTTGAGACTTCACTCTGATTAAACCTGCTATTTTTTGGAGCTAGTCCTGACCACTCCAGCTGGCAGTCATTTCTCCCCCAGGGTGATTGGATCCGTGCCCCTTTTCTGGCACTCAGCAGCCATATGAATAGATTCAGAAGTGACTTTTGGTCTAACGGTGCGTCCTCGTATCTTTTCTCATCTGCCGAAAAGAACGGAGTTTTTTACTAGTCTGAGCTGTCCTGCTGTTCGGGACGACTTGACAATGGCTAAAGCCACCTTCTGGGAAAGGCTTGCATTCTCCTCTTTGAAGGATGCCTTTCGAGCAGCCAGGCTCCCTGGCTTTCCTTCTGTGTTAGGCCTGAGGAGAAGGAAGCAGCCCCGGGACCGGACAGCAACAGGGGGCTGCCCGAGTGAGGTGTGAGGAAAATGCCACAACCGGGTCCCTGCACCCCAAAGGTCTTCCTCAGTGAGCTGGGTGAGGCCCTGCGCCTTAGCGTGCTGTTCCAAATGCCACAGCGTCCACGGGAAGGGGCGCGGGGTGCACCCATCCCTCGGTGACTCCGGTCCCGGCCGCCTCCAGACCGTGGGTAGTGGCCGAAGGCAAAAACGCGTGACTATGAGCAACAGGGGGCTGGGCTCTCTGGCGGGAAAGCTTCTGAGAAGGATCTGGGGGGGCCTTGTCTGCACACTTAAAATGAGAGGGGTTTGCACAACGAGCACCTGTGCTTCCTGGTCCCTGGTGACCAGGTTGCCACATCTCGCTGGGTGTGCCAGTGGCTTTCTCCTGAGTCTAGAGGTTGTTAGGTGTTGCTTCTGAGCCACATCTTTAATTCGAGCCCTGGAAGGTCATCCAGGATTCCATTTCCACACTGACTGAGCTGTACTCACCTCGGGGACAGGTCGTGGGTTCCACAGTCAGGGTTAGGAAGAGGAGTCCGGTACAGCAGAATGGGGCTGCAGAGCAAGCAGGACCCCGTCCACCCAGGGATATTTCACCACAGTGTCCCCTGCAGGCAGTCCCCAGCTGTGGCCGTGGGTGCCGTAATGACAGTTCAGAGCCTGGAGCCTGCTTTGGATTCTGTGTCTCCCTCTCTGCCCCTCTCCCGCTCGCTCTCTCTTTCAAAGATAAATAATAAACATTAAAAAAATTTTTTTTAATAAAATAAAGCTATAGTTACATCCTTTCATGTCCCCAAAGCAAAATGAATACTCCAAAACCAGTCTGGCTAGCAGAGCCACTGGCCTGAATGGGCTGAGGCTTGGGAGGGCTGAGCTCTTTTCCCTGACTGGGGCAGGGTAATTACCTTTTACGCTGATTCTGATTCAGAGATCACTGAGAAGCTACAAGCTAAAATAACGGATGACAGTGCTTTTAGGTAGGGAAAAAACTGGCTTTGCAAAGTCCCCAAACAGCCTATTAGCATAAACGTAAGAAATGGCCCCTTTGGCATTGTGAAGCCACTATCTTGTTCACGGGCTAGGAGACCTTCGTGGCCTTGACACGCCCTTGCCCCACCCCAACTGCTCTCGCCCAGCTGGATCTGCCCCCTGCTCCCTCCTTCCTCCCCCCACCCCAGATCTGGCCCTCCCCCAGCATAGACAGTGCTACCTTTGTACCTTGAAGGCTGGGCTTTCTGGTCTACCAAGAAAACCCCGTCTCCTTCCTTTCCCATTTCTAAACTAGAAGGAAAAAATAACAACCCTGAATCAGACTCTGCTTTCATGAACTGCATCCCATAGGGGGAAAGTCAGAAGGTGGGGATCTGCTCCGCTGGGGGCAAGACTTGTTTTCTCAGGCAGCGGCCAGGCACGATTCTTCCTCAGACACATGGTGTGCAGACTGGAACCGGGCAGCTCTGTGATAGTTTTGGCCCAGGCTACAGGCATCAGCGTCCTGAGCTCCAGCTCCACAGAAAGGCCCCTTGTGCTCCTAATGGGGAGGGGCATCACCCACTGGACAGCCTGCGGGGCAGAGCAGTCCGGCTAACTCGTGAAAGTAAGACTTGGCAGAAGAAAGATCTAAAGCCATCAGCCCCCAAACCTGGTAGTTTGAAAAGGTGTTAACGTGGCATCCGTCTCAAGTTAGTTAACCACTCTTAAAAGTAAATTCAGTAAGGGGCGCCTGGGTGGCTCAGTCGGTTGAGCGTTCGGCTCAGGTCATGATGTCGCGGTTTGTGGGTTCGAGCCCCACGTCGGGCTCTGTGCTGACAGTTCAGAGCCTGGAGCCTGCTTCGGATTCTGTGTCTCCTTCTCTCTCTGCCCCTCCCCCACTTGTGCTCTGTCTCTCTCTGTCTCTCAAAAATAAATGTAAAAAAATTTTTTTTTGAAAAAAAAAAAAAAGTAAATTCGGTACGATGTTCTGCTTCCAGTTCAAAGTTCTGCATGAGTTCTTTAAGGTCTTTTTTAAGCCATCTTGAAAATTCCTGGAGCTAACTACCTTAAAGTTGTGGTTAGACTGTACTTAGAACTCGGAGCTAACGTCCACATCCCAGAATTATGGATTCTCTTAAATGAGACACAACGTATTTTCTATGCAGCCAGAGAAATGATCTTTCATTGAAACTGCTCTATCTCTGAGTCAGTTGCTACTTTTTCCCACCTCAAGACTCTGTTTCCCCACACATACGCCCTCCCCTCTCACCTACCCGCAGTAGTTTTCTGCTGGTGGCGGATCTGCAGCTCTCACTGGCTTGCCCTTCTGACCCTGTCCCGGCAGGTGCAACAATGGGGCAGTGCTAGAACAAATACCAAGGAAAACCAGAGGCCCTGCAGACAGTGGAACTCCTGTAAATGTTGGAGCTTCCGTTAGACTCTGGCTTCCTTCAGGTCCTTGAGGGCAGGTGCATGTGAGATACTCAGGAACTATTTGTTGGATTAACAAGCGGATTGAGTAGAAATTCACTTGAAAAGCAATCCTTTTCTTGTTCTGGACTGGAATTTTCAATGTGCTTTCCATGCTGAAGACTGGTAGAGAGCTCTCTGGCTGGTGAGTAGAAGGGCGGCAGAGAGGAAAAAAAGCTAGGGATTGGCAGTTGGCTCTAAACTTGTAGAGAAGAAGGTCAGAGGACCCACTCTACATTTCCATGCATCCTTCTTCATTGGGCTCTATGGAAATTAATTCAATAGTAAGGAGTACGTATACGCCTGGGAGTGGGTGGAGCCATCTAGATGCACATCTGCCAGCAGTTTCTCAGTTGGGTGCAAAATTGGCGGCATCCTGCAAGCTGACACAGCCGGAGCTGTGTTAGGATAGATGCGAGGTGTGAGAGCTGGGAACCCCGTGATCCGGTCCCGGGATACCATCATCCTGTTCCCTGGCACACTGCAGAGTTTTCTCCAAGTATGTGTCTCATTGGACCAGAAGATGTATTTCCTGAGCTGCTTCTCTGGAACATGCTTTCTCTGAGGATAGCCTCCGTCTGTTCCACAGTTAGAGTCTGTGCCCCCCCCCCGCCACACCAGGATCGGCCACACTCCTCCACTGCTGGTGGCCCTGGAAATTAGTACAGCCTTTTCGGAACATAACACGGGGCTACACGTATATCTCCGTCACTCCTGCTGCATAACAAACTATTCCCCCAAAGCATCATTCGGTATCGGGGAGCTGGAAGACTGAATCATCTTTAAGGCTCGTTCGTTCACATGGCTCGTGGTCAACACTGGCTATTGGCCGGGGGCCTAACTGGGAATGCCCACACAGGGCTCCCACATGTGGCCTGAGCCACCTCTTAATTCCAAGAGCAAGTATCTTGAGAAAGGAGGGGGGAGATGGGGACAGAAGCATATTACTTTTTATAACCTAGACTCGAAAGTTGCACGTTTCTTCCACTGCATCCTGTTGATCGAGGCGGCTACAAAGAACGGACCATTTTCAAAGGGAGGGAGCCTAGACCCCACCTCTCCGTGGAGAGAGTATGT